GGTGTGTGACGTATGCTGCTTAGTGCTGATTGGCTCGGTTGTTTTCTCAGTTATTTTACAAACTAAATATTTAATTTCCCAAAATAAAAATTTAGATCACAGCTAAATATTTGTTTTGGGGCGAAACCTAAGTATTGATTTCGCAAACAAAATGCTTTCCTCTAAAATAAATGTTTAGCTGGGATCAACATATTTAATTTGGAACCAAATATTTAGTTTGTAAATAATTTTATTTAATTTTAGATTTTATTTGATTTATTCTTTATTTAACCAGTGTAGCGATAAATATAGATTTATATCTATATTTCAAATGTGGCGTAGATTTAGCTCGTTTATTATCGTCTATTAATTGATCGAGGCACCACCAGTTTCCGGAACTGGACCGTTGGATTTAATATCTATATCTTCGCAATGTAATCAGTCTCAGAGTTAACACCACAGATTGATCTAAAGGATGAATTCTTGACAGAATGCGCCGATAATTCCCGAGAATTGCTAGACAAAGATCAGGCGTTATTTACCTTTTTTGAATTTATTACAACATCAGCTAATACATTGACAAAAAAAAAAACAAACACAGCTTATAGTTTCATGCATGGAATTAAGAAAATTGTTAACCCAAAGCTTTATGGCAGTGATAGGAAATAACTGATCCGTAATAAAAGTGGAAATCCGGTTACACCAGGATTATAGAGAAATGGGGAATAATTTCTAAAAGGAGAACCAAGTGTGTGTGTGTGTGTGTGTGTGTGTGTGTGTGTGTGCGTGCGTGCGTGCGTGCGTGCGTGCAGGGTCCGAAATTAAATTTTTTACTCACCGGCCAAGTTGGCTGGTAGATGATAAAAATCTACCGGCCAAGCATATTTGTTACCGGCCAAAATTATAAATGATTTAGATCTACCTAAAGCATGTTATTCTATATTATGTTGATTCCAAACAGTGACAAAATAATTAAAACATCAATTAATAAGAAAAACAACTCTTTTGTCATTTTTACTATTTATTTATTTATTTTTAGAGATGTTTTTATGAACTCTTTCATTGAAATCTAGTCAGACTCCTTGTTTTCTCTGTCCATGAAGTCTGGCCTCCTGCTTCTGACACCGTCTTTGTGCCAAAGCATTACAGCCTCATTTGGGTCATAGTCCTTGATCTCTGGAGAACACAGCTGCACCATGAGAATATCTGAAAGTGTGTCAGGGCTAGGGTTGTCACGGTAACCGGTGTAGCAGTAAATCCCGGTAAAAAAGTTGACAATAATAATAACCGTCTTGTTTTAAAAAATATATAATCTCGGTGGATTACCGTGGCTGTGGTGTAGGCGCGGTAACCCTTACCAGCCACCGTATCATCTGCTAAAGTTGCCGGCGGCACATGCACACTTTGTTGTTTACGACCAAAACTTTCTTTAAGCTAAAGCTGAACTAATGGCCAGATGAGACGGCAACACTCGGGACATTTATTATCCCTCAAAGAAGACAAAGTCGGAAGTATGGGCATTTTTTGGATATTTGAAGAATGCCGAGGGACAGTTGTCTGTGAAAGGCAGCAATGCTAAGTGGCCATCATAATGTAGCCATTGTCTCACGACTCCGCCATCTCCAGTTCGCCACTTTTCACAAAATCTTCTGGTTGCCACTGGTCCTGGTGGTTTTCCTTCCAGTTCGACGAGTTTTCTTTCTGAAGGATGGATGACTCCAGTTAAAAACCGCCACATTTCACCGCTAGTTTTAACACGAAGCTAACTACTAACTTGATAAACTGATTGAATGGGATAGGCGGAAATGACGCTGGATGCGGCGCTCATGTTACGCATACGTTTGTGTACGTTGCATGCAGGTGGGAGGAGTATCAGAAATCCATGGAAGATGACTGATAAACATAACTAATTTGGTGCAGACATTTACTTGCCATGTGGCAGATAGAGCTAAAAAAATTACTCGCCAAATGGAGCAATTTGCTCGCATTTGGCGAGTGTTAATTTCGGACTCTGTGTGTGTGTGTGTGTGTGTGTGTGTGTGTGTGTGTGTGTGTGTGTGTGTGTGTGTGTGTGTGTGTGTGTTCGAGTGGCTCGTTATGGCAGACGAAGAAAGGGGATCTTGAAGGCTAACGTGAATCTGGGATCGAAATAAAAACACAATAAAGAAATGGACTAATGTGAATTCACTAATCGGGCTTAGCACAAAAGTCAGCCAGATGAGATGCCTCATAGACCTTTTTCTGTCGCCAAAGAGGTGTCCTGTGGGCTGGTTCAGCTGTTCCAGAAGCTTGAATGCGACCTTCAGGGGCCATAGGACTTTTTGGCACCTCAGCATAGGTCAACGGTGTCTGTGGTGTGTAGAAGGTGTTCTCCCATAGTGGCTTGACTCAAGGTTCCTTCACTTCAGCGGCCTTGAAATGTGGAATTCAGATCGCGGGCCCAAATGATCCCAAGCGGAGCCGAATCATCAAACTGTTCCAAATTGCTCTTACTCTTAATATGAAAACTCGACCGCCACGCAGACTTCCGGTTTCACGTAGAAAGTCAAAACAAACAAACTGGGTTTCTTTTGATTTTTACCGTAACTTTTGTGAGCTAATGGCTTAACAAATTTATGAGTGTCGGGTTGTCTGGTGCTGGGCCCAGATGAAAAGCCCAGCAGAGGTTCGCTAAGGCATCTTTCTTCTTTGTTCTGCCCCACGAGGTCTGCACTGTGGCTTTATAACCTTCTGGGTCACACCCACATGTATTTCACTCATTAACCACTGGACACTTGATGGCACTGTGGCTCTTTCAAATAAACTCTTCCTTGTCAAAGATGGAAAGTCCATGATCACAGTTTAACACAGTTATTCATATGAAGCCTCAAAAAGTATTACTTTAGCATCAAAGTATTACTTTAAACAGGAAAGAATGAAATTCATGTCTTAAAACTAAACAGTTTTACCATTAGCATGAATTTTAACTGGAGAAGCAAAAATTGGACAGAGGTTTAACATAAAAGAAAAAACACAAAACAATCAATTAGGTTTGTAACTGATAAGATTTTAACTTGGAGCACCTTGATTTCTATTTTAAGGGTAAACAACCTAAACACCTTCTTTGATTATAGATCAACAGAAAAATACCAGGATTTTGATAAAGGCTCAATTCTGGAATCTTCCAGAATGACCCTTGAGAAGATTTACGAGCACCCGGCCTTGGGGGAGAGTCAGTTATTGGCAGGTTGAGGTAAGACAGACCAAGTCCTGATAATGTCCGGCTTAAAGAATCACTTGGTAAAATTTACGGTCCTGGGAGAAAATGTAGGAGTTAACCAGAATGCTCAAACTGCGGGCCAGTTTCAAATTCCCCTTCTTATTTTCTTCTGCTAAATGTGAGAGGAAAATCTTTGTGAAAATAGTTATGTTCTCCTTCATGTGAATGCAAACAAAGTTAATCTGAGGATATAAAATGTGGATTTTCGCTACACCAGGAAGGTCTCATTGAGGTTAAAAACCAAATTTTCAAGGAAGTCCTGGCCAAGAGGCAGTAAAAGTTACAGTTACAAAATGTGAGAAGTTACACTTCTCCTTGAGATTAAGTTACAGATGTAGGTGGGTAGTAATGCAATTATGGCCTTATAAATTATGGTGTACCAATGTCCCAGCCTCCTGGTGGATAAAGAAGGCCATTCCACTCGAGATTACAATTCACAATGATGGGTCAGTGGTCTATAGTTAGTAATAAACCTCAGCGAGACATGGTGAACCGCATAAATTTTACAGAGACACTGTGCTGAGGCATTCATATGCAAAAGGTCTCCATAATCCAGAATAGACAGAAATGTTGCAGTAACTAGTTGTTTTTATTTTATTTTATTTTTTTGCCTCTAAAGAAAAACACAGTTTATTTCGAAAAAAGAAACGTTAGGTTATGCATATAACCACTGTTCCCTGAAGGAGAGGAACGAGGTACAACAGAGGTACTATGGGATCCCCACCCACCGCACTAACCGATCAAGCAAAATATCATGGTCAATCGTATCAAAGGCTGCAGTAAGTAAGGCCGACTCAGTGATGTGCCCAGACCTAAACCCTGACTGTAATAACTCAAATAATTCCGAGTCCCATGGATGAGACACCAGCTGCTGGTAAACAACTTTTCACAAACATAATAAAGGCTATGGTGCAACAGGAGGAATATCCCACATCCCTTTGCTGTAGAGTAAAACTGTTATGGCACCCAGATCAACCATTCTGTCTGCTTCAGCGGCCAGGACAGGACAGGTTAAAAAAAAAAAGAAAGACAGCCCAGAAAAACGTCCAGGCAGCCTGCCTTGGTAAATAATGCAGAGAAAACTATCCATTTTTTGTTATTTAATACCAGGGGTGCACAATATATCGGCATCAATATCGGTATCGGCCGATGTTAGTCATTTCTTAACATATCGGTATCTGTACGATAAATAAAACTGGGCCAATATTAACAATTGATATTTTTTCCATCTTGTTTCCATTTGTTTATCTGTTTCAGAGGGTGAGGGTGGTGATGTGTATTTGTTTAGTCATGTGACAGTGATTGTAATAATCTCAGAAGCATAAATGTTTGTGGTGTGTATACATAACAATGTAAACTCAGCTTTGATTATTTTCATTCTATACAAAATCTGCTGCTTTTTTAGAAGCATTAATGTCAGTATATCGATATCGGCAAATATCGGATATCGCCCATTACAGTGATATTAATATCGTTATCAACCCAAAAATCTCATATCGGTGCATTCCTATTTAATACATTTGAAGGCTGTCTTTACCTTCGGTTTTCCTCCTTGCATTAGGGGTAGAACAAGAAGAACATGCTTTTTATAAAGCACCTCTGGATAAAATTTACAAGTTGCTTCACAAGCACATTAAACATTTTTTAAAGTTTAGAAAATATCGTAATGGGAGAAATAATGGCTTTTAATGTTTTGATGTTATGATTGGATAATATTTTATTATATAGTATACTATATAGTGAACATTTTTTGTCTGTACAGAACTCCCACAGCATCATATCTGGGAAAAGGAGATGGTTCTGACAGAACACCTTGTTGGTCACCAGGAGATGACCTCCAGTTTGGACCAGGAGGAGCCAGCATCTCCGCTGCTGAAAGAGGAACATCAGGACATCTGTATCAGTCAGAAAGAAGGGCAGTTCACTCTGAAGCAGGCTTCTCTTTCTGAAGACAAAGAGTCAACATCAAACGGGCATGAAAATTTTACACTAAATAACATATGTAAACAAAATAATATATGTAAACAAACTAAAGGGCACAGAGACAGTTTTGACAGTCGCAAGAGGCCATTTTCATGTAAAGTATGCGGAAAATGTTTCAGTCACAATTGTTTTTTAATACATCACATGAGAACACACACAGGTGAGAAGCCATTTTCATGTGAAACTTGTGGAAAATGTTTCTCTCAGAAGAGTAACTTGACTAAGCACATGAGAACTCACACCGGTGAAAAGCCATTTCCATGTGAAATTTGTGGTAAAAGATTTTCTCAGAGTAGTAACTTGACTCTTCACATGAGAAGCCACACAAATGAGAAGTCCTATTCATGTGAATCTTTTGGTGAATGTTTCTCTAAAAATGGTGACTTGACTCTTCACATGAGAACACACACAGGTGAGAAGCCATTTCCATGTAAAACTTGTGGTAAACGTTTCTCTCAGCGTAAATACTTGACCAAGCACATGAGAACTCACACAGGTGAGAAGCCATTTCCGTGTGAAACCTGTGGTAAACGTTTCTCTCGAAGTGATCACTTGGCTGTTCACAAGAAGACTCACACAGGTGAGAAGCCATTTCCACATGAAACTTATAAATGTTTCTACGACAGTGGTGTCTCGACTTGTCGCATGGGAACTCACACAGGTGAGAAACCCTATTCTTGTGAAACCTGTGGTAGATGTTTCTCTAGAAAGGCTGATTTAACTCTTCACATGAGAACACACACAGGTGAGAAGCCATTTCAATGCAAAACTTGTGGTAAATGTTTCTCTCAAAGTAATCACTTGACTAAGCACATGAGAACTCACACAGGTGAGAAGCCATTTCCATGTGAAATTTGTGGTAAAAGATTTTCTCAGAGTAGTAACTTGACTCTTCACATGAGAAGCCACACAAATGAGAAGTCCTATTCATGTGAATCTTTTGGTAAATGTTTCTCTAAAAATGGTGACTTGACTCTTCACATGAGAACAAACACAGGTGAGAAGCCATTTTCATGTAAAACTTGTGGTAAACGTTTCTCTCAGCGTAAATACTTGACTAAGCACATGAGAACTCACACAGGTGAGAAGCCATTTCCATGTAAAACTTGTGGTAAACGTTTCTCTCAGCGTAAATACTTGACTAAGCACATGAGAACTCACACAGGTGAGAAGCCATTTCCATGTGAAACTTGTGGGAAATGTTTCTCTCGAAGTGATCACTTGGCTGTTCACATGAGAACTCACACAGGTGAGAAGCCATTTCCATGTGAAACTTGTGGGAAATGTTTCTCTTACAGTGGTGTCTTGACTTGTCACATGAGAACTCACACAGGTGAGAAGCCATATTCATGTAAAAAATGTGGTAAATGTTTCTCTCAGAACAGTAGCTTGGTTCAGCACATAAGAACTCACACAGGGATAGGTCTTTTCCATGTTTGATCTGTGGAAGGAGATACAGTCATAAGCTTTAGGTCTTCACATGAGAATTCACACTTAAGAATGTTTTTCGTGTATTGGTACCAATATCATGGTAACCATCTCTCAAGTCACACTCAAGTCATTAATGTTTGATATTCAAGTCACATAGGATTAGTCCAAGTCGAGTCAAGTGACTAGGTCCTAAAGGGCCAAATCTGCGTCCCAAGTCCAGCATCTAGTTTCAACTGCCACTTATGTTTGCACATAGAAATTAAATGATATTGCTATTGTTAGAATTAGCATGTAACTGATGCTAATATTAGTTTGGTATATTAGCCCAAATTACTGTGTTAATAAAACATTTGATTTAAAATCACTTTTCACAACACCCAGAAATACTTAACAATAGAGAAAACATAGACAAAGAACATAACACCATCCATCAATTTTCTTCCGCCTATCCGAAATTGTGTCACGGAGGCAACAGCCTAAGTCGGGAGGCCCAGACTTCCCTCTCCCCAGCGTGTCCTGGGTCTCCCTTTAGATATCCTCCCGGTAGGATTGGCCCAGTAAACCTCATCAGGGACACGTCCAGGAGGCATCCAAATGAGATACTCGAGGCACCTCAACTTGCTTCTCTCAATGTTGAGGAGCAGCGGATCTACTTCAAGCCCCTCCCGGATGACCAAGCTTCTCACCCTATCTCTAAGGGAGAGCCCAGACAGCCTGCGAAGAAAACTCATTTCGGTCACTTGTATCCGCAATCTCGTTCTTTAGTCACTACCCAAGGCGTGTGACCATAGGTGAGTGTAAGAACGTTGATCGAGAGCTTTGCCTTCTGGCTCATCTCTCTTTTCTCTGTGACAGACCAGTACAATGCACGCATCACTGCAGACGCAGCACCGATCTTGCGCTCCAGTTTTCCCTTGCTCGTGAACAAGACCCCAAGATACTTAAACTCCTCCACTTTGGGCAGGACCTCATCCCTGACCCGGAGAAGGCCTTCTACCCTTTTCCAACTCAAGAACATAGTCTCAGATTTAGAGGAGCTGATTCTCATCCCAGCCACTTCACACTCTGCTCCGAACTCCAGCGAAAGCCAGAGATCCCATTCTGATGAAGCCAACAAGACCACATTATTTGAAAAGGCAGAGATACAACCCCCAGCACCTCAACACCATGGCTGCACCTTGATATCCTGACCATAAAAGTTATCAACAGAATCTGTGATTAAGGGCAGCATTGGTGGAGTCCAGCACTCACTGGGCACAAGCCTGACTTACTGTCTGCAATGCAAACCAAGCTCTGACACATACATGACCCAGCAGACCATATCAGAGGACCTGGAGCCCCATACTCCCGGAGTACCCCCCCCCCAGGGACGCGGTCGAACGCCTTCTCCAAATCCACAAAACACATGTAGATTGGTTGAGCAAACTCTCACGTACCCTCCAGTACTACTCAAAGGGTATAGAGCTGGTCCAGTGTTACACGGCCAGGACAACATTCACATAGCTCCACCTGAATCCAAGTTTTTACAGTCCAATGGTCCCTCCTCATCAGACACCCTGGATAGACCTTACCAGGGATACTCGGGAGTGTGATCCCCCTATTTTTGGAACACCGGATTTGCTCGGAAAACCTCACCAGGGAGGCGTTCTAGAGGCATCCTAATCAGTTGACTGAGAAACCTCAACTGGCTTCTCTCAATGTGGAGGAGCAATTGGTCTATTCCAAGGCTCTTCCCAATGACGGAGCTTCTCACCCTCCCTCTAATAGAGAGCCCTGGCACCCTGCGAAGAAAAATAATTTTCGTTGCTTGTATCTGCAATATTATTCTTTCTTTCACTACCCAAAGCCCGGGACCATAGGTGAGGGTAGGGACATAGATCAGCCAGTAAATCAAGAGCTTTACCTTTCTGCTCAGCTGTCTCTTCACTATGACAAACCGGTACAATGCCTGCATCACTGCAGACACAGCACCAATCCGCCCATCAATCTCATGCTCCATCCTTCCAACACTCGTGAACAAGACCCCGAGATACTTAAACTCCTCTACTTGAGGCAGGATCTCGTCCCTGACCTGGAGAAGGCATTCTACCCTTTTTCAACTAAAGAACATGTTCTCGAATTTACAAGTGCTGATTCGCATCTCAGCTTTTTCACACTCTGCTGTGAACCATTACAGTGAAAGCTTGTGATCATGGTTTGATGATGCGTACAAGACCACATCATCTGCAAAAAGCAGAGATCTGATCCTTAGGCCACTAAAAAAGTCCAACCCAAAGTCCCTACAATCTGCTTATTCACTGAAAGACATGCCAGGGACATTGAGGAGGTCTTTAAAAGTACTCCACCCACTGACCCACTGTGTTCCCAGTGAAGGTCAGTAGCACACCGTCCCTATTATAAACAGTGTTGGCAGTACACTGCTTTGCCCTCATAAGGTGCCAGATGGTGGACCTGAATCTCCTCGAAGCAGTACAAAAGTCTTGCTTAATAGTCTCGCCGAACTCCTCCCTCACCCAGGTTTTTGCCTCTGCGACCACCGAGCCACATTCTGCTAGTACCATCAGTATCCATCAGCTGCCTCTGGAGTCCCACAGGCATACCTTAACGCCTGTGTCCACCAGCGGGTTCTGTGGTTACTGTCACAACAGACACCGATGACCCAGCGGCCACAGCTCCTTTCGTGGTGGAGTTGGATTTGTTTGTCAAATGTAAGCTAGAGGTGATGGGAAAGTTTTAAATAAAAATGGTGGCATGTGTGGCCAGTATCTGGGCTTAACATACCTTGGGGGATGTAAGGCTGGGTGGGGGTGGGGTGCTGTAAGGAGCTGCTGTGACATCCAGCAGCAAGGACTCCCTCCCCCTAGGGCAGTGGTCCGAAATTAGCAACCCGTCAGCCAAATCCGGCCCGCCAGACTTTTCCGCTGGCCCCCAACTCTTTGGGCCCAAGGGCCTCCAAATATCAATAAATATTGTCATGCTGTACCTCTAAAGAAACGTCAGGACCTTGGCTACAAGAACATGTAAACCTTTTTTGAGTTAACTAAAACTACAATCAAAACAGTGATCACAAATCCCTCATGTGTGAGTGTTTTCAGTCGATTCACTCGGTACAAGAAGGTACTATGGGACTTATCGAAATGTCCCATTAGCAGCTATCAAATCTGGGTTGAGATTGCAATCTAAGATGGCAAGTCAGACCCAGCAGAAAGAACTGCATGCGCTACTGAAGGGGCCAAAACATCCAAATGGCAAAACTTCACAAAAGTGTGGTGTGTAGCCCAGCTTGCAGCTGAGCAAATGTCACCAACTGAAACACCTTTTAAACAGTGCCCAAGACGCAGCCACACCTTTAGTAGATTGTGCCCTTACCCCTTCTTTCCACCGGAGCCGTCAGCAGCACGTTACTGCAGCAGCACATCATAGCTGCTGATAGGAACCGCTGTGGTCAACAGAACCTTTTCCACCGGAGCCGTCAGCAGCTGTCAGAAGCGCGAGTCGGCCGCGTCTCAGGAGCAGCATGTCGCGGCCCTTGCGCGCCGGTTCTATTTTCTACGCGCGACGCCTCTGAAACGGGTCAAGTTCTACATTTTTGGGGATGGAAAGACAGGAAATCGGATGCGGAAACTGAGCGAAGCTCCCGAGATTTTCAGAATAAAGAAACGTACTGCCTTCCGGTTGCTTTACTTTAAAAAAAAGTTACTAACTGTGCAGCCCCGTGAGAAGCTATCACCTAGCTAGCGGTCTCCTTTGTTTTTCAGGTCTGTATTGGCGATTATAAAAAGGACAGAACATTAAACACAAACCTTTTGGTGCCGTGTTGTGATTTTCTCCTGCTTGTTGTGTTTACTGACGAAGTCACTCTTGTGACTTTGTGCTCTGTCAGTGACAACTGCTCCCCTGCTGCTTCGCGTCTCGTGGGAAGGGCCAAGCAGCATCTTACGCGAGTAAAGCCTGATTTATGCTTCTCCGTCTGCGTCAGTGCGGAGACACGCAACGCCATTATCCGTCCTTGCGTAGGGCACGCAAGTACGTACGGAGTCGAGCCCACTTTTTTAAACATCCGTCGAACGAGACGGATGACGCAAGCTTGTGATTGGTCAGGACGCCGCTGTTGTTTACAGCGCCGCCATTGCAAAGAGAGCCGAGGATAACTAGCGGCAGACACGGAGCAGCTTGAAGAATACCTCGCGAAAAAACTCTAAAAATATGAACGTTTCATCCTCCCGTGACTGGAGGAGTGAAAAGATGCGCAGCAAGCATTTTATTTGTGGATGGAAATGACAGGAAACGTGGGTTTAGAGGTGGGGAGCGCATGAAGAGGTGGGAGAATGAGAGACAAATATGTCCGTGTTAAAAGTCTCTTATAAACACAAAAAACACAATATAAACACACGATCTTGGACCGATACATGACAGGATACCACAGAACAGCGCTACGCCCTCTGTTGTCCTGCCGGGCAATTGCTTTGCAACACTCTCCAGGAGACGGAGAAGTAAAAGAGCAAAACGCTTCCGTCAATCCGTGCGTGTCTGTCCCTTGCGGAGCTGACGGAGAAGCATAAACCAGGCTTTAGGCGTGCTGCTGCAGTGACGTGCTGCTGATGGCTCCGGTGGAAAGAAGGGGTTACCCTTAGAGGAAGCTGGGACCCAGTGACACTGTTACACAGGGAAGTGGTCTCCACAATCCAATGAGAAAGTCTTTGCTTTGACAAAGCTTTACCCAGCTGCTGCTTTCTTCGGTCCCATAACAAAAAACTCAAAAACTTTGTCAATATATGTTTGCAAACTTTCTAAATTTTCTCCACTTACCTCCATGGTGAGTGTTATATTTACCAGATTTTTATTTATTTTTATTTTTATTTGCATTTTCAGTGAATAAATTAGGCGAAAATGTCTCTTAATTGTTTGTGGAAGTTGGTTAACGAGCTGCTATCTGCTTCAAACGCTGCCGTGTGTCCAGTGATCGGCCGTCAGTGCATGCTCAGTCCAACATCTGCCCCTGGGTGGGTCTGGGTGGGGGCCTGGGGGCTCGGGGTGTGGGGGTGGCCGGCCCCGTGTGGGTATCTGGGCAGGGCCTTGGGGGTCGGGTCCTGACATGTATGCTGCCGGGAAGAAGGCAGGAACATGCAGCACTGCCTGGCCCGGGTTCAGGGGCCTCGGGTAAACCTTGGCTCCTCTGCTGTCCCATCACAGGGGAGGGGGAGGACCCAACCTTACCTGGATGTCCTATGTCTTATATATTCTGGAAGTTGTGCAAATGCAGGTATGGGCGTAGATATTCTGCTGGGGTGGGGCTGGGTTGGTGCCCTCGGACTCCGTGAGGCTCTGCAATGCTGCTGTTTTGGGCCCTGGCAAGATGGGCTGGGGTCTCCGTGCCCTGGGAGGCATTTTGACAACAGAGGTGCCTATTGGGGCCAGTGGGGGAGCTGGCTCCCTGGACGGCTACGCCCAACCAGCCATTCCTTCTCATCCCCACACATTTCTCTCCTCCTGCTCCCTAACTTCATCACACAAACGTGCACATAGGACCTTAGGGGGTGGACAAGTCATAGAGTGTGGGTATGGACCCCATTTTCGCATTCCTGTGGCAACCTGCCCCCTAATTTTATTTGCACCTTAAACACTTCCACCAATGACATTCCACGCAAACACACATTTAGGGCCTTGGGAGTGAGCACATTCAATGGCATTTGGCAGGGGGATTTCTCAGCCTCATCCCGAGTGCCGGTGCCCACTTCCAATTTTAAACCGCACTTAGACACCGAGGGCTGTGGGTGCAAGTGGGGTGGTGTGGTGGCATCAGCTGGCATAGGCCAGACAATGCCCGCACTGCCCGCTCACCACAGCCATGGAATACACCTCATCAACATACACTAACACTATATTGGAGCAGGCGGAGGGAGACTAGGGGTCTTAGCACACCTCTGTTGTTGCTTGGCTTCTTGGGGCTGGAGGCTGGGAGGGAGATCTGGCCATCTGGTTGGGGTCTGGGGTGGTGGGTTGCTGTGCTCAGCGTTGGGCGGGGGAGCATGCTCATCAGCACCCCAGCAGAAAGGGTCAAACTCTGGGAACCGGTAATGGTTGTACCCCATGTGAGCAGTACCGGGACCAGAGTGAATAGGGTGTGTATGGGGAGCACGAGTGGGTGTCCGGAATGCATTTTTGTAAGTCTTTGGTTGTATGTGTATGGGTGAGCATGAGGGAGGGAGTGTATGACTGTGTTTGTGTATGACTGTATATGTCAGGTGGGACCTTTGACTCCTCCCTTCTCCTGGGACTTCTTTTGATGATACAGATCTTCGTCTCCCCTCCCCCTGCCACAAATGGTGTGGAGTGCGGTGCCTTGGCCTGCCTGAATGTTCGTAGCTCCCGGGTCAAGGGGTTAAATATTTTTGGCATCTGCCTGATCAATCCCGGTGGCTGCCTGGTGGGTTCTGGGTCCCTGGGCTCTGCTGGGTCCCCGGCGGGGGTGGTCGCCCCTGGGTCCCGGCTTGCTGGGTCCCGGGCTCGACCGGCTAGGGGGTGGGAGGCTGCAGGCGGGCCTGTGGGCTTGCCGCTGGTATCCCCCGGGACTTTGCCAGCTGCTGGTTGTGGCCCCCCGGGACGATCCTCTGCGCCTCTCTCGAGGGGGGCAGTGGCCTTTCTGGTTGCAATCTCCTTGGGGTTCCTGTGTCCTGGGGCAGCACCTGGATCTCTGGGACTTGGAGCTCCCTCCGTCTCCTACACATCTTTGGGGGGCAGATCTGTGGCCCCTCACACTCTATTGGAAGCTTTTATAGAGAAATCTTACATAAACAAGCACGTGTACACACATAGGTGCTCACATAGTGCTCTCATAATTATGGGCTTGGGCACGTTCAACACATGTCTTAAGGCTGTCGTTGCCACTAAATGCCCAGGGTTTCCCTTACATAGGCGTAGTCGTGGCGGCCCGCCACGGCTGAAATCCCACCGCCACGCCTACAAGATCTCAAGGTTTTTTTTTTTTTTTTTTTGCGCTGTTTCCCGAAGAAGCAGCGGGAACTACTATGTTGTCGCTTGTGATCACAGCCGGCGGCAGCAAGGAGGAGCAGGCAGGGCAAGGTGAAGTTACAGCATAAGTTACTGAGTTTAAAATTAGAAAGGTAGCAGTGGATATAATGCTTTTTAGTTTACATGTTTCAATAGCATTAAGATAAACGTGTGTTGACGATCTTGACAGGGTTTCCTCCAGTGCTTATTAGGCCAGGTTCTCCTCCCCCCACCAGGCTAAGCATTACTTGTTCATGTAAAAAAAAATTTTTTTTTCATGTCTGATTTTAACTGCATATAATACTGTATTACGGCGTGAGCGCAACAGCGACAACTTAAGATTGATGTGTGAGCAGCCTGAGAGGTCGGGTGTTTCATCTGAACCCTTAAAACCTCCAGCAGGCCACGCTGCACTATTGACGTGTTAGCGCACGTCGCTAACAACTTAGCGATGTGACATGTCTCGGAGAAAGCGTAAAAACACATTGGACGCTTCTTCTGAAGCGGGAAAATAACACCTCTTCTTAAGCAGAGCACGACGTTGCCTCGGCTCGTTCACGGCCGAGCCGGACTGAGCTCGATAACATTGACCCAGCACAGCCACTGGGTCGTTGGAGCTGCCCCGTGACTGCCTGATGGAAAACCAGCGGGTTTCATCAGACTCGTAAAGTTTCTTGCTTTTGCTGGGGACCCCCTGTATTTTACCGCTCCCTCCTGCAGTCTTCCCCTATTAAAATTTAAAATGATTCTGTAAATTCCGTGTATCAATAGAAACAATCTCTGCCTCTGCCAGCTGCAGTAAATGTAGTTTCCAAATAATAAAGAAGAGGTGCATTCATCCGTGTATCTCCTTTGATCCACATTAGTGATATTCTCAGCACCAGAACAGTGAAGCAAAGAAACAGATTCCTGAGTTAGTAATTTTATTTATTAGGTGCATCTAACCTGTTCTAATTTTCTCTGAAATGAGACCAGACCAGTGGTTCTATGGGTTGTCTCCATTCTGCACTAGAAAACTTTACTTTGTTTAGAGACGTGTCTCCACCCTCCCTGCCCTGGGCGTATTTGAATAGACATCCACAAGAGATTTAATACAAATCAAATGTTTAGTTAAAAGGAAAATAAATAACCAAACCAAGTGCATTTTCTGTTCCTTTGTTCCACATGTTGCATTAATACCACCTGTTTTTATGTTTCTAACACCCTCTACTGTTCAACTGATGGTCCACTACTGTCGCAAATCATTATCCTGCCTCCCAGAAAATTGTCCAACCTTTGTCCTATGGAAATAGGAATGAAATTCTTTCAAACAAATGTTTTGTTTTAAATCAAAGACAAGTGAGAATTTTTGTTAGAAGAACAGATATCAGGTTTGACCTGTAATTCCTGCTCATTTATATTACTCTCTTATGTTGCATCTAAGATTATCATCAAAATGGAATGAAAAAAAGTAACAATTTATGTAACCAACAGTCGGATTTTACAGGCAGACTTAATTAGAGCTTATTGTTTTCTTGGTAGAATAAACAATTATAACACAACTGGTTTAACTGGATCATTTTCATACACTGAGGAAATTTCAATAATCTTTTCTTAATCCTGCATCTGAGACATTTGAATTCAAAGTTTTGAACCTGTGTGTAATGCATGAGAATAATGAATGAGTTGTGAGTTTCTAAATGGTCATTAAATATAAGTACAAACAAACCAACAAGAGCTTGCTCTCTTTCTTGCATATTAAACCATTAATAATTACTAATGTAATTAACTACCTTGCATCCTCCATCAAATTTCATGGCATAGCTTTAAACTAAAGTCACCTGATGTTAACAATAATAGAGTAAAGGCTGTTTTGGTCAAATCTTAGAATCGTGCACAGTCTTGTATCATTGTAATCACACTCAATTGTGTGTTGTAAATAACTATTTTCATATAAAACTGTAAATCACTGTGCAGCAGGGAAAATAAGTATTTGTCACATCAGCATTTTTATCAATAAGGGTATTTCTAAGCGAGCCATTGACAAAATTTGCACCAGAATTTGCCATCAAGCCAAATATTGAATTCATACAACATTTAAAGGTTGAATATGGAACATGATCACCGTAGTGACATCTAGTGTGTGGAAGTTGTAGTTGCAACAACAGAACAAGGTTTCCAACCATCGAGGTTTGCTGCTGATACATGAAGTGACCAACCTGCACCATGTCCAATGACGAATCGTAAAGGGTAAGGACTCATTTCTATTAATGCATATATTTTACAAAAGTGTTTAATGTTTGAACATCTTCTTGGCTCAGAAGCAGCTGCTTGACTTGTCGAGTCCATCATTTTCCACAGTGCCAGCCTCGCTTTACTGTTTACTGTTTTTAGCTACTAGCAATGGTGTTCTCTATTGGCTGTTAGATGTAAACATTAATCCAGTGCCGTGCCATCAAAAATGTTACATTAGTTTTTATTTAAACACTTTTAAAGGAACTACCCCACACCTCTAAATGCCACGTGGAGGTATCGTTAAGTGTTCTTTTTAATAAACTGTTCCATATTCAACCTTTAAATATGATTTGAGTCATAATAAATAATGAAACGACACAGGGAATAAGAATCGAACATATTTTATTTAATACTTGGTAGAAAAGCCTTTGTTGGTGATTACAGCTTCTAGACGCCTCTTGTATGGAGAGACCAGCCATCTGCATTGCTCTACAGTTATTCAGGCCCATTCTTACACACAAACGCTTGTTAAATGCTTCTTGAAGTTTCCTTGGGCTTCTGATGAAAATAGATGGCAACATATTTTTATCTAGAATGTCCCAGTAAATTACTCCATTCATCCTGCCTTCAATAATATGAAGTCTGCTGGCACCCTTTGCTGAAAAGCAGCCCCACACCATGATGTTTCCACCTCCAAACTTACCGCTCGTATGGTGTTCTTGGGGTGGTGGGAAGTGCCATTTCTTCTCCAAACATGGTGTGTAGAATGACAGTTCAGAGACAAATCGTACAGGATAAGGACTCATTCCTATTAATAAGTTTATTTAACTACAGTATTTACCATTAGAACATCTTCTGGGCTCAGAATCAGTTGCTTGACTTGTGTAACGTGAAACCATAACATTCGAGGTATAAAACATGCCACGTAAGCTCTAACGCCAGTTCAAGGCGTTCCAGAGCAAGCATCGGAGTGGCCAATCCGACTTTTAACTCTGCAACTGAAAGAACCACGACAAGCTGAGAAAATCCAGTTGCTACATCAACTAGACGCGACAACAGCTCCTTTCAAAATAAAAGCTCCACCGACCCAGGCTGAGTCTGAACAGACGCCAAGAAAAGAGTTCTGTGCCGGAGGTAACTCGAGATGGGTCTGGTCGGAACCACGGCTCTTCTTCCAGCTCGGTGTCCAGAGAGGGCCCGATTGGACCTCGGCATTCTTGATCTCACCAGGGGACTTCCACCAGGCAGGTAGGCGCTACTTGATGGTGTCTCATGCGGTTCTGAACTACCCAAGCTTATTCCAAACCAACATCTTCAGTTCCCGTCAGAACTAATCGCTTCTCCGGATTTGCTGGTTCTGATTTACATGACACGTCATCCATTTGTGGCACCTTCCTACTGGGTAGGTGCTATATCTACAGGATACAAAAATCCACCCAAGGGTTACACCAGGTAAAGTTGAGAGCGACTGCCAGAGATCAAAGGAATCAGCCGTTAACCACACCAGGGTTTATTCAAAGTACTAATTAAAACATCACAAAAAAGCCCTAGTCCAGTCACTAGAAAGGTTGCCGGAACTGGGCCCGATGAGAGACTGCAGCCTTATCTGGACGCTGCGGGGCAGATTCCTCCTCCTTCAGGACGCTTGTCCGCCACGCCGCCATTTTCCTCTTCCCTCGATAGCTCGCCTCCTCCTTCAAGACGCGTGTCTGCCGCACCGCCGTTTCCCTCAATCGCCCGCTTGCTCCTGCAGATCAGTCACTGGCTCAGCCGCGCCACGCCGTCGTCCTCCTCCGTCGCGGGCAAGCCCCCACAATGGAGCTCTAAAATTGAGTCAAACCCGGAAGTGCCAAAAATTGCAGTTCCACCCTCATCCGCTGGGGGCTGGTGTCAGAAGTGAGCAAATCCTCATTGACTCCCATGTTAAAAATACCAATTTCACAGCAGAAATAAACATGTTTACAGCCTGGTACCAAAACATGTATTTTGTTTAAATTATCTAGTTTACACTCATGACAACTCTGAGGGGGGTGAATTTTTTTCTCACTCTTCTGTTTACGTGCATTAAAAGACTAAAATTCTGTATAACTAATGAGCATCCGACACACGTGACGCCGCCTCAGACCCACGTGACCACAGAGCTAGCTCCGTGGAAAGGCCTCAGTAGAGCCTCGGTCTGGCTTGGAAACTGCTCCGGCATTTTGAGTCTCTGTGTTTGTGTATTCTTTTTTGGATATTTTTAGTGCAATTGTTGGACAAAATGACTTGCTGTGGCATTAATTGCACTAATAGAGCGTCCAAGGAGTCTCCACTTCATTTTTTTTTTCGGTAAGTGAAATTATATTTATTTATTTTAGGTCACTGCCGAGCTGAGCTTAGATTTTATCATGTACTGTTTAACCATGAAATTTAAATGTAATAGGGTAAAACCTAGTGCATTTAACATAATGCTGCATTTTAGAAAATGGTTATATAACATGTTGGTGGAGCTGGGTTCCGACTATCGGCTTGTGGAGCTCTGGGGAGACCGATGTTTTCCACCCGTTTCTCCCCTAGCTTCGCAGCTTCTGTTTGCTGCGTGGAATGCCGGCTGTTTCTCCCTGCAGCTTGGCGCATCTCTGTCTGATCGCGGCTTCTGTTTGATGCGCTGGGTTGCCGGCTGGGTCTCCCAGCAGCTCGGCGCATCTCTGTCTGATTGCGGCTTCTGTTTGATGCGCGGGCTGCCGGCTTGTGAAGCTCTGGGATGAAACCTTTCCACCCGGTTCTCCCCAGCGGCAGCTCTGCGCATCTCAGATCGCAGCGGCGCTTGTCTGCTGTGTGGCTGCCAGCTTGTGGAGGTCTCGGAGACCTGTGTGTTCCACCCGGTTTTACCCAGCGGTCAGCCCGGCGTGTCTCTGACTCAGAAGCTCTGGTGTTGTGCACAGTTAACTCCGGTTGTAGCTAGGTTGCTACCTCCGTTAGCTTAGCTCCCACCTCCGCATTAGCTTTGGGTTAGCTTCAGGTTAGCTTGTAGCTAATTCGACCGGGTATCGTCAGTTGATCCCAGCCTTACAGCCCCACCCTCAGCTCCTCCTCTCTTCCCTTTTTGAGAATTGTCTGGGCTTGACGGAACCTGTGACACTGTCAAAATGGCGGTGGTGGCCACCTCCCATTTGGCCTCAAAAACTTGATATTGGAGCCTATGGAAAGGAGATGTCCAGTATATTTATGTCGATGGTCGCGGATCCACCTGTCAGTGAATTTTAACGGCAGTCACTGCTCGATCGCACACGACGAGTCACACCTTGTCACAGGCCGCTACTCACACGCCAGGGCAGAGGAATACCCTGCCCACATCTCCATGAAGCCTCGTCACAGACAATCGGTCTCCTTTCACCTGGCGACTCTCCGATTTCTGCCACCGTCTCCACAGAAAACGCTCCTAATCTGCCACCGGTGCAGATAGTTGCCCCGGTCCGGATGTCATCTGTCCAAGCTTGTCAAAATAAAATCACACATCCTCCCAGTTTCCTGGGTTCTCCAAAATAAAAGCATCCCATGCACTAAAACTAAGTAAAAAGAATACACACTAAAAATACACCACACTGGAAGGAAAAACACCATAAACACCGACTTTGCCCGTATGACATCCCCCCACTTCTTGACGTCGTCAGTCCCTGCGACGTGAACAGTTCAACCCCCATACCTGTCTGGTGGCTTGCCAAAATTGGGCCGAGCAGAGGGTCACACTGCTTCCTGTGGTCCATCTTGGGGAGGCCCGGGCGGAGCCATGGGAAGAAACCCATAGAACAATGGTTCAGACAACTTTAGAGTCTGTAGAAGCCTTTGAGGGTCTGCTTCAGGCTCTGCTACTAGTGGTAAAATGTCTACAGGGGGTGCTGTACACGGCTTTAATGCATTCCTATGCACTGTCTGCTGGCAACCACCTTTTTCAAGTTGCACCCGATAAACCACCCACGTCTCTCCCACCTTGTCCAAAATCACATAGGGGTCATTTCCCCACCATGTACACAGTTTTCCTCTGCCCTGCCTGTTTCTTTCCCGCACCCACACTCGTTCTCCTGGCAGCAGGGGCATGGCCTTGGCCTTCTTATCATAATGCTGTTTCGACTGAGAAGCTGCCTCACTCATCTTTTGCCCCGCTATACTATAAGCGGTGGAAAGTCTCCGCTGGTGCTCATTTACCCACCCACCCAGCTCGTGACGTACCTCTTGGGGGCCAACCCCCAGTTCTAGATCTACCGGGAGTCTCAAATGCCTGCCAAACATGAGAAAAGAGGGTGCATAACCGGTGGATCTGTGTTGTATTGTTATACGCATGTACCAG